TTTTTTTTTCTCTACTTAATAGATACCTGTGCGATGCATGTGAAATACGTATCAGTCTTGTTGACGATATGAATCAGTATAAATGAATGACTTGAGATTTGAACTGAATGGTTAATAAGAATAATGCAGATTTCTTGTTTTTGTTTATATTACAAAAGGGGAATTTTCGACTGTAATCGGTCACTGTATATTTTAAAACGATGGTTTCAGAAGCAGTGTGAGACTCTCGTTTATTCAAAGGTTGAGGACTTTTGTCTAGATCAAGGTTTAAGCCAGATGATGATTATATTAAATCCGGGTCTGCTATGCACACTAAGATAAAATGTGTCGCATGTGTCGCACTTTGCGACACAATGTACGACACATTAATATGCGACACGAGGAGCTCGTTGCGACACATTTCTTCCAGCGGACGTACGACACATTCTTGTGCGACACATTAATATGCGACACGAGGAGCTCGTTGCGACACATTTCTTCCAGCGGACGTACGACACATTCTTGTGCGACACATGCGACACATTTTTAACACGTGGTTCGAATCCATTTTTCGGCACGAGGATTATTTTTTTTAAAAATTCGAATAGTTACTATTTTTTCAGTTAATTTCAAACAGTAGCATCTATTCTTGGAGTTCGAGACGGTAGATCTTAAGATCTAGCTGCCTCGAGACCATTTGATCTCGATCAGACTACTTCGAGGCAGTCCATTCTCGATCATCTAGCGGCCTCTCGACATGTTCTCGAATAATAAATGATCGAGAAATAATCTAAAAAAAAAGACATACGAAAATGTATAAGTCAAGTACGTCCAATAGGCTCGGTTATATGCAGCTGCACTCGCGAAACAAATCGGTGAATGAACGATTGACATATAGGCTATGACACATCTATAATGCGACACATTTTTGTGCGACACATTTTTGTAATGGAGTCTGCGACACATTCTTGTACGACACATATATACGATACATTTTATTTTAGTGTGTGTGAACGAGAAATCTCATGAGAAGAATGATATAAGCGACTTAGTCTCATTTCAACTACCTTTTCGTTTATGCTATCAATACAAATAAACAAGTGTTTGTGAATATATTTTTGTTTAAGTAATCATATATTTTTTGTGTTGAGATCATTTTGTTTACAAAGAAGTATGTATGATTGTTTTAATGCTTGATTCATGATCACTTGCTACCGACGACAAAATGGTTGAGAATCGTATTTTTCATCTCAAACATCAAAATTACGATCAGAAAGATCTCTCTTGGATATTTTTAGATAGCAGAAGTCTAGCTGTACAAAATGCATATAAACATTCAATATTGAGAAACAACACGTGAATAAATTGCCTGAGTCTTTTTAATACATGCTTGACTAGTATCTAACGACAGACTGTTGCAAGCTTCATCGACGGCCATCTCTAGTTCAAGCTGTGACTTTGGATTCTTAGTTTTAATCTTTTGCTTGATAATGTTCCATATTAGTTCAATGGCATTGAAATCCGAGCTATAATCAGGCCATTCGTATAATTTAATATTATTTTCTTCACATCATCCTTGGAATTCAATGCTTCGGTGCTATCGAACTTCATCAGGAACATATGAATATTCCTTGAAATCTCGTATCTTTTCGGATAAAACTTCATTCACTGTGTCACGATACGTGTCACTTTTTGACCAGTTATCGAATCGACGAAAAACATAACCGTTCCATCAAATAAAACCAATTAAATTGACATGCGCACGTAAAGACGAAATTTTTTTCTTGGGTGTTGGTTCACCTCGTTGGCACCAAACAACCGGTGTTGTTCTCCTCAATCCCACATAAGATTCATCTTCAAAAATGTATTTTTTGATGTTGGCTCGATGATGTAATTCAAGAAATCGATGTCGACTTTCTTCATTCTTATTGTTAGTTTTCACCTTGAGGGCAGATCTTTGTGGACGGTAACCAAGAGAAATTCGATAGCGTTGTATCGTTCGTTCGGTCGCATAAAATTGTGTGAGTGACAATAATGCAGCAGCAGTAGCGGATCGATGCTTTTGAATGGTTTCATCTAGTTTTTTTATTTGGGTTGAGTCGAGAGAAGGCGGGCGACCAGAGCTGTGTCGATGGTTCACATTACGATGAGAACGATAGTGATTAATGAATCGATATACTGTATTGATGTGACAGTAGAGAAAGCGTGATGTCTGTTTGACCTTTAGAGAACCTTTTTTCCACTGACTGATAATATACCAGCGCTTTTCGACACTTAGTGGGTACATTTCAAGTATTATCAATCACTCTTGGCTGAACAACGGAGAGAATTAGGATAAAAATAAAAAATACGTAATCAACAATAAAGAATGTCCTATAGTTAAATACTGCTCAAGCAATTTATTCACTTGTTGTTTCTCAATATTGAACGTTTATATGCATTTTGTACAGCTAGACTTCCGCTATCTAAAACTATCCAAGAGAGATTTTTTTGATCGTAATTTTGATTTTTTAGATGAAAAATACGATTCTCAACCATTTTGTCGTCGGTAGTTTTTTAAATTATTTTTTAACATGAGACAGTTGTGGAGAAAAAGATAATACGAGAGTAACGTGTGGTTTTGTTAATCAAACTACGTCAAACTAGTGTTTGTTTGCGGATGTGGCTGTAACTATGCGTGGATTTGGGTGTTGCTTCTACTTATCGATACACACTTAAATCCACGTTCCACCCCAAGCAGCAGATGTTTTGTAGATTTGTCTTGAGCTGTGTACAGCTGCTGTTGGAAGCATTTTTTCTCCTTTTGTATGATGGCGCCCTCTACTTTGTTATATCCTCTTGCTGCCTCTGTAAAAAAAACTAAAAACATAGTTCGATAGAGAAAAAATTTTTCTATTTTTTTCTATTAGTTTTATATTGCTCCCAATAGTGAAAAACTTGCTATTACTCCGCATATATTTTTGGCTGAGCGTTTCTATTAACTAATAACTAATTACATAGTAAGAATTTCGATTGGTACTAGCGCATAATACAGACATAAAACACTTGCAAATGATCAGTTACTAATTCATATTTGACATTATATTGATATAGAAAAGAAAAAGACTTAGTCGTTTTGTTTTATATTCGTCTTTTAGAATTTCATTTGAAACTTTTCAACATATATATGGATAACGATAAACAAACATTAACTTTTAATCAACCACTGAAAGATGAAACAATCAAATTACAAAGTAATTCAGTCGGATAGTAGATAGAAATCTTTTTTATATTTTCGTTTCAATAGACGATAGATCAATAACTCGGATTGAACATTTATCTACAGAATTGTTTGTTACAATATTTGGCTATCTTAATTGTTATGATATCTATGAAGCATTTTCAAATCTTAATTATCGTTTTCAACGACTTCTCAATTCTTCATTTTATTTTTATGAAGTTAGATCTAATAAGGCAACATTTATTGAAACATTTACAAATAACTATTAACAATTTCTTCTTCTTAATAGTGATAACATATTTTCCATGCGATTATGGGCATCGTTAGAAAATGGTCAATTCTTATTGTCACTTATTACCGATTCGTCAATGAGCTCTCTCCAATCACTTCATATCTCTTAGATTGATTTAAATCAATTTGTTCCAACACGTAATAAATTAACTGCTTTACCTTGTCTTTTCTTCTTATCTATTATAATAGATGATACAGATGAAAACGTCGGTGAAATTTATCAATTAATACTTGTTTTACCTAAATTAAAATCAATTAGTCTTACCATTAATTCAATCGATAGTCAAATCAATCTTTTGACGTATACCAAAAAACGACAAAGTACTATTGAATATCTTTCTATTAATTCTCGAATAACTATTGGCCAAATTTTTGATATCCTTGCTTATACGCCTCAAATTCATCATATGCATGTGCGTCAAACAGAAATGTACAGTCGACGCATCCATCTTGAATCCCCAATCAAATTAACAAATTTAACACATATTTCGATACATAAATTTGATGGAAATTTGAATCAGTTTGAAACATTTCTTAGCCAAATATATTGTAAATTAAAATATTTACATATTACTCTTACGTATGGCGAAAGCACCTTTTTGAATGGTCATCACGGGGAATGGTTAATTTTACAATATTTACCTGAATTGAAAAAACATCATTTAGAATTTAGTAATTATTTCTATGAAGCGCCTGAATACTCTGTAGACTCTGTACCATCGAATCCATTGAATACACCGTTTTGGATTAAACGACAAGATATATTTGAGATCCAAAACTATAACTCGAGTGTGGGTGTGGGTAGGTGTTGGTGTGGATGTGGGTGTGGGTGTGGGGTGTAGGTGTGGATGTGGGTGTGGATGTGGAGTGTTGGGGTGTGGGTGGGTGTGGGTGGGTCTGGGATGTGAGTGTGGGTGTTGGTGTGGGAGTTTGTACCGATATAACATTCTATTCACTTACACCTACACCCACACCCACACCAACACACTCCGAATTTAATCAATTATACTGGTCAGTTTTGGTACATGTCACTGTTAATAGCATATTAGTATGATTTTGCATTTTCCATTACAAAGAGTTGACTGCTTTTATTTTTGATCCAATAAAATCAAGCCTATGAAATGTATGCATCTAAATTTGACACTTGTAAGATGCACGTAACGCAAACTTCGAGTGAATTTTTTTTTTGACTTTATCATACATATTCTTGTTCAGCGTACGGAGCTGATCTCGAATATCACTTTCCCAGCCTCAGAAGACCTTCTTTTGCTGAGAAAACGTCAAAATACTGAAAAGGTCTAAAAAAACGACTTTTTTGTTAATTTTCCAAAAACCCTCGCCGTTTCGTGAGTTTTTATCCTAGAGAATCGAGCTTGGTTTTATTCAATTCCCCGTTCAAAACTGATCTTAGCCAAGCTGTTTTC